TTAAAACCCGAAATGAAAAGATATCTCTCTCAATTTTTTTTCTTAAAAAATTAAGCGAATTAAAATTCACAGGAATTTTGTTTTTCTCTCGAAATGTTTTGAGAGAAATAATTTCCCTCCAAATAATTTGAGAAAAAATGCTTCTCACAAAATAATTTGAAAGAGCTTCTCAAAAACATTTTGAGAGAAATTTCATGAAAAGATTAGATAACATATTAAATATCAAATTTTATTCCTTCCAATCCATCCCATGTCTGGGCCATGTCATCCACCAACATCCACGTCATGCCACATCACCTGTTACATATGAACCATGCCTTAAAATAGAACCCATGACCTTAGGTTCTATCTTTAATACTTACCTTATTGCTAGTTGAGTTGCAATGAATTTGGTGTTTTAAAATTAACAAATCATATACTACTACACTTTTATAAAGTTTATATTATTTTATTTTAAAAATAATTAATAATATATTATATTTTTGAATGAACTTAAAAAAAATAATTCCAACATTTTTTTAATAATTCATTGATAATTTTATAATTTTTATTTAATTTAACACGTTTTAAAATCAAATTATATTAATTTTTAATTAATATAATTTATTTTTTAATTTTATATTTTTCAAATTTAATTTGTTTTTTTTAAACTTTTAAAAATATTTTTGCAAAATTATTAAGTATAATTTATAATTATTTTTAAATTTTTATTTTTAAGAAAAACATATTTAATAGCAACATTTATTATTACTAGAGGAAAATTTTGACAACAACTTTTTTTTTTTTGTACTCAATAAATAGCCAAGACTTGATGCCTATAAGTTTAAGAAACGTGACATATAAGATTATTTCCAAAACCATTTGTAATGATTAAAAAAGGTTCTCCCCAAGCTGATAAGTCCTTTTCAGAGTGCTTTTTTAAAGGGCAGACTAATCACAGATAATGTTTTGTTGGCTGGAGATGTTATATGAACATGTATAATCCATACTTCAAGAAAGGCAGAAAGAATCTTGCAGCTTTGTATATTGATTTTTTTCCAAGGCTTTTGACCGCCTATCGTGGCGTTTCATTGAAGCCATTTTGAAGTCGATGGAATACCCTAACTCATGGGTTCAAATGATTCTCTCTTGTATTTCTACGGTCACTTATTAAATTTTGCACAATAGACGCCAATCCCAGCACTTTGTTCCAAACTTGTGCATAAGACAACGTGATTCACGTACTATCGCCCTATATCTATTTTTTGGCAACTAATGTTCTATCCTACTTTAATTACTCATCAGCGATGGGAAGGAATCAAAATTTGTCAGGAGGCACGACCCATTTTGCATCTTCTATATGCAAATGACTCAATTCTCTTCTTTAAATGCACAAATGGAAGTGTCATAGCTGTTAAAAATTTTATTGATTCGTACTGTGGTTTATCAGGGAAGATCATCAACTCTCAAAAGTCAACGGGCAGCTCATAGTGGAATATCTGGGGTTGAATATTTATGAAAAGATTGGGAAATATGTGGGTACATGGATAGATGCTGGAAAAAATAAAGAAACATTATCATGCAATTGTGGATTCTGTCCAGAAAAGAATAAGCTCTCTTGGAGACGTAGATTACTGTCGCAGGCATCAAGATTGACATTGATCAAGTCAATACTGTCAGCTTCAAATATTTTTATCAATTATCAGGCTTCAAACTCCGCTTGAAATGCTGTAAAATCATTGATTCGCTTTGCATTGACTTCTTCTGGGAATTTAATGAGGGGAAGAACAGAATGCACTTCATTCACAAAGATGCGGCCTTCACTTCTCAAAAGGATGGCGGACTTGGCATAAGACCCACTCACCAAGTGAAAATGTCTCTCTTCTTGGTAAGCAATTTTGAGAATCTTGGATTCTCGAGAAAACTCACTGTTAGCTGAAACTACGGAAAAAAAAAAATACTTTGATCTAAACAAGTCGCAAATATATAAGGTTCCATATAATGTGTCCTGGTTTTGGAAGGATATTAGGAGATAGTGCAGATTTAATTGTGCCTAAGCTAAGTTGAAAAATTGTTTCTGGTTAAAGTATCCCTTTTGATCATCAGTTGTGGTGGCCAAGGAAGAGAAATGTCCCATTGCCAAACATGAGGGATTCCATTTTGAAGATTCCTTTATCTTTCACGGTAGTTCAGATAAAATCATTTTGGCACTTCTTAAGGAAATTATAATGCCAAAGATGGTTTAAATTCCTGTTAAGAAGGGATCTCTCTTTGAGAACCTTGCAGCATGACATTTGGAAGATTGATTGCCCTAGAAAACATATTTTGCTGGTATGGAAACTAATTTATAACTCTTTGCCTGTGGATCATACCTTGAAGGAACATCATGTTCCAACAACCTCCTCCTGTTCATTTGGATGTGATAAGGATATTTTTATGCCGTGTCCCTTTACAAAGCCAGTATTTATCCATATGTATACCCAACAAGCATTTGCCCTCAATTCCAACAATTGAAGCGTATTTTTCTTGCGAGAGAGGGCAAGTGCTTGTTTAAATCTGAATTAGGTTTTGGGATTGATACAATGTAAAGAAGGCAACGCGTCGAGATTGAGAGGGGAGAGAATAATTTTTTTAAAAATTGAGTCGGGTTGACATGCGCCAAATATATGCATGAAGGATTTTTTTTTTTTCAATTTAATTTCTGACTGTTATATTAGAGAAGATTTTTTTTTTTTTTTTAACTAAGCATTCACTTGAATGCCATGTGTGCACCCACAAGAGACCACTAACTTAAATTAATGCGCGTCTATGATGCAGGACACATGCAGTTAGGATTTACAATATTTAAGGGCAAATGACTCAAAATTAAGTTCATGACACCCGATGTCCCTAACTAAATACTTTAAAGGCAAATTTGACCTTATTAATTTCTATTTGAACATCCGACTTGGATACCATGTGAAGTGTCATGTGTACATTTTTGTTAAAAAAAAAAATTGGTTAACTAGCACATCAATGATAAGGTACAAACAAATACATTTTTAAACGCTCAGGAAGTATTTTGACCCAAAATTGAATTTAGGATATACCTACAAACCCTAAGCAAATGTTTAGAAGGCAAAAATGACTTTGAATCCCTCATTCACACACACACACACACACACAAATCCTTTCCTATGAGAGGAAATTATCCAAATTAATGAAGACCCCGTGCTTGTACTCTACTGCATAAGAGCATTTAATAAAAAAGATGTGCAGTCCTATGGTTACGATATTAAAGGGAAATCATGTCTAACTCTGATCATATACATCTCAGGAAGACTGAGCTTTTAAGAGCAGCTTTAATTGGCCTGAAGATATATACTAAGAAACACAAAAGAGAGACATTGTTCCTGGAATATAAACTTTTTTCAAGTTTTGCACCCACTGCTTTAGAGATATACTTCTTTAACAGTAAAAGTAATATATTATGAAACACAAAAGAGGTGGCATTTTGGCTACATACACTACTACTAACTATTTAATTTTATACCTTATTTGCCAAACACAACCCAAAAAATAATTAATTAATAGCAAAAAAATGGTTCTGAATTATGATCTTTTCAAATTCAAGCATATATACTAAGTGGAATAACATTCATGCAAGACAAATTTTGACAAAAACTACTATGATGAGAAGAGGATTAATTTTCCCTTTAACACATAAAGCCATTAGCCATATTATTTATGAATAGTGAATATTGCACTTTGTTAGAGTTTTTATATTATATATAAATTGTCAAGAAAAGAAATGCAAGTTGTCTCTATTTGTTAAAAATAGAGCAATTTTATTAATAATGTTGGTTATGTATCTCACAGCAAGATGGAAGCCAGGCATGCAAGAAATTCACAAGACATTTGGGTGTTCACTATAGGGAGACGGTGGAAACAGAGTCAATTTTAAATTTAAATATATTTTTCCATGACTAAATCTAAATCTGAGAGGCCAAATGAAGGAAATTTCAGTGAATAAGACAGACAGGGTATAACATTTCACACTCATCAAAGGGCACATTTTACTTCTCTACTAACTAATTTAAACTTTATTAAAATTTATTTTGTGAATTTTTATGATGTTCTTTTAAACTTTTAAAAATAATTAAAATCTGAAGCAAAAAAAGTTAGATTCCTGTGTAATTTAAGAAATTAGTTTAAATAGCTTTTGAAAATAATTTAATATGATAGATGAGAGAAAGTATTTTAAAAAGGTAGGACATGCGATAATATTATAAAATTTTAAAATAATATAATAATAAATCATTCTTATGAAATAAAAATTAAGGAAGATATTATAAAATTTAAAAATAACTAACTAATAATCAATTTTTTAACTAATATAACCAAATATAAAATAATAATGTTTTCTTTTTATAAAATTTTTATAAAATAAATCTCTTTTTGTAAAATTTTTAAACTACCTAAAATTATTTATTTTTTAATTTTAAACAAAGAGGGCCATAATCTTTTACAAGCTACACTGATGCATAACAGAGTAGAATGTTTTGCCTGAAATTTTCGCAAAATAAAAATGTTGATAAAATTTAAATCAAGTTGAAAAAGCAATGGGCAGCGAGACTTATAGGTGACGCATTCATCGGCGCAGTTAGCTCGCACCCCTCCCCATAACAAAAATACAACCAAATCACTTTTGGTGTTGGTGGGGTCTAATTTGATACTCCCCTCTTTTTTTTTTATTCTTGTTAATCCAAACTAATTACCTTGCAAGCACTTTTTTAATGAAAATATTTCTCATTAAAAATTTGATTGTTATTGTATACTTAGGATTTAAATTCGTAATCACTAGTTAAACTGAACCAACTTTATAACCATTGATCCAAATGTCGACTAATGATTTTTTTTTTACTTATGCCTTTTTCTGTTGTATTACCTGTATTATCGGGCCTAATCAAAGTATTGCTTGTAATTTAAATCTTCTATAATTCATAATTTCTGAAGAAATAAAGATGTCCCACAACAACTCATGAAAGGCACGCACGATACATTTCTTCCAAAAAAAGTAAAAAGCACGATACATACAAAGAAGATTCATAAGTGACTTAAGACGGAAACACTTTTCTACCGTTCACCAAAACTAGAAGGACAAACACTATTTAACAGTGAAGTTCACAGCTTTAAAAGCCAAAAAAGCAAAAGAAAGAAAGAAAGAAAGAAAGAAAGAAAGAAAAGAAAAGAAAAGAAAAGAAAAGCTTGAAATATAATTACTATTACTACCATTAATTATAATTGATTAGTAAAAAGTAATATCTAAGCCATCTCCCTGTTAGCGTAACTATTCACCAGCGCTAAGGCGTTGCTGGTGAACTCCTTCAGGTACGTCATCCGATCACATACATCCTTCTTCACGGAATCTTCCGGTACATCCTCGAACCCGTCCGTACACGTGTCCTCATCCGTCAGCGCTGCGCTCATCCACGTCTGCACGTTGCTCATCCGGAACCTGAACTGCTCCCCGCCGGCACCGGTGATGGCTAACTGGCGCATCTGCTTGAGCGAGCCGCGGATTTCGTCAACGGCATCGCCAAGGTTTGTGAAGCAGTCGCGGAGGGCGGAGGCGGCGCGTGAGTTGGTGCTGTAGTCTGCTTCACGAGAGAGCGTGGAGAGGTAGGAGGCCATGTGGCGGGCCTTGGTGAGGGTTAATGCTATGGCGACGCGAGCGAGCTTGCCGGAACTCTGTTGGATGGCATTGTAGTAGGGAGAGAGGGAGGTGTAGCAGAGGCCGGGGTAGAGGGTGGCGTTACAACTTGTGCGGATGAATGTGGTGGCACTGGGATTGAAGTCGGCGGCAGGGTCGACTATGACAGTGAACGCGACGGATTGACGGAGGCATTGAAAAGAGGCGGCGACGACGACGAGGAAGAAGAGAAGATGAAGGCGTTTGGTCATCATGGTTGATTGCCTCTTTTGTGGGACGCTGCTTGTATGTTGGAGCTTTGAGTACTTTCAAGATTTATGTAACTTCTAATAGAAAATTACATTCTTTTTCATTAATGTTGTGTATAATTACAATATTGCCATTTCTCTTTCCAAGTTGACGGTGATGCTGGCAAAATAAATAAATAAATCTAAGTTGATGATTATGTCATGTTATATTGAAATTCTAGTTATCGTTCGAATAATTAACATTTTAGTTTTTTCAATTAGAAAATGATTGAAATATGTGCTTCTCTAAATTATTTTGTTTAAATTTTGTTTAATTTTGTTAATATTTAACATTTTAACTAGTCCTTGAATTAATCGCTAGAGGCCGGCAGGTTGGCGAGGAATTTTTTTATATATAATATGTCGTATTTTTTATTATCAATACTGAGTTGTAATTATTTAACCCTAATATATTTGGCTATCAAGAAGCAAAAGAAACATTTTTATCTATAAATTTATTTTTTTAAAACTTCATGTTAGAAAATCCTAATAAGAAAACATATGTACAAATTTGACAGAGTAAAATGGAGGGCATTGAGATTTCAGGTGAGCTACTGAACTAATTTTACACCACCAACAGAAGTAATCCAACCGATTTAAATGTTAATTTAAACAGTTAAATATAATTAATTAATGAAAAAAATCAGATTAGGATGATAGATTGATTATATTGTCTTGAAGGCCATTATAAGGTGATATCATAGTGTATTTTAGGGAGCCCAAAATTGTTTTGAATTGAATTAACCTTTTACTCCTTTGTCAAATCATTACAACAGGCATGGATGAAAATAATTTTTCAATCAATATTGTTTGAACATTAAAATGAGTGAGTCAATTATTCCCTCCATTAAAAAATATAAGATATTTTTAATCAAATTTTACCTTTCAATAAAATAATACTTACTTTTCAACTAACCCTATTTTTTTATATTTACTCCTATTAAACACTTTACAATAAATATAAAGTCATTATTAATAGGGGTACTTTTAAAAAAGATAAGTATTACATCTCGAAAGATTAAAAATGTCTTATATTTTTTAACATCTAACTCTTTAAAAAATATCTTACATTTTTTAATAGAGAGAGTATTATTTATTATTTATTATTGCACTCTAAATGTTGCTTACAATCAATATTAGATTTCCGAATCATTTCGAAAATTTAATTTTTTAATTTAAAATATATTATTTTATTCACAAAATGCATGCGAGCTTGAGGAATAATGGTAACATTTTAGAAACTATTGACTGAAAAATATAATTATTTAAATAAAATTTAAGGGAGAACTATTCAATTGATAACAAAAAGAATAGAAAAATATAAAATAATAATGATAATGATAAGATCAAGAGAGACTACGATCCTATTATGAGAAAGTGAATTAAAAATGCATGCTAAATAAAATTATGTAAAAAAGATTTCCTTGTTCTAAATTATTAAATACTTTTAAAATTTGACATTTGAAAATATAAAACACTTTGACTAGATTAAAATTTTATTAAATAAACTTATTTTAATATTATTCTTTATCTCTCTCTATTCAATATATTAGATGAAAGATTTTTTTTAAAATTTTTATTTTTATTTTAAATATAAATTTATTAAGTATGTTTAATAAATTTTATCAATATATAAAATTTTGTTTAAAAGTATTTTATAATTTAAAATGGAGAGAATAATTAATACATCGCTTATAGCTTATCAATAGTACTGCTTTTATCGAATTATATATATATATATATATATTTGCAGAGTTAAACTTTTATAATAATTTAACAACATAAAATATAATTGTGGGTCCTTGTATTTTTAGCATGTTTTGATAGCAGTTCATATACTTTTTCATTGCTCGAAGTCTTTTAAGTTTTATTTGTCTCTAACATTAGGTCATATAATTTTAAATATAATTATAAAGACTTAATGGTGGTAAACATGTACATAAACTCTATTTTTGTCAAAAATTTACATATAAACTCTATTATTTCTTGTGTGGAATACTTATTAAAATTATTATGAGTGATATAAAAAACGAATAGAACTATTAGAATATTAATAAGTTAATAGGTGATTAGTGTTAATTAATTGGTTTGTTAGTGATGACCCTAATTAAGTTATATATAAAGGGTGCCACATTATTGTGTTAATTAAAGGTTAGGGAGGTTGTATCCTACTTCAAGAAAACTGTTAATATAGGTCATCATCTCATCATATCACTCCCATTGGTTTGGAATTTGGCTTCTCTTCATTTTTCCTCCTCTCCATTTCCTCTTCACTTTTCATCTTAACTATTAGATTCATTTTTAAATGTTTGAGATTTGATGTTTTGAAAAATTATTATTATATTTATTTTTCATAAAATTTCACATTTTAATAGTAATTTTATGAAACATCAAATTTCAACCATTAAAAAATAAATTCAATGGTTGAGATAAAAAATGGAGAGAAATGCAGAGGGAGGAAAATAGAGAGAAGCTAGTGGTTTGGAGTTCATGTTTTCCCTCTATAGTTTGGACTTGTTCATCAAGTTGTTGTATTGAGCATTTTTTTTTTTTGGCCTGAGTTGTATTGAGCATGTTGCCCTTTCATAGTTAATTAATATTGTTTTCCATTGTTCTTGTTAGAAAACGTATAATGAATGAAATTTTAAAAGAAAGAAGACATGACAATGAAGGGCTGGCATGCAAAAAGGTTGACATCAATTTTATTCATATAATGTCACACTCATAATAATTTTAACAGCTCAACAATAGAATTATTAGAATTATATTTATATAAAAACATATTTAACTACATAAATAGCGGTAATGACTAGCATTTCAGCCAAATGAAACTTAAAAAATTTAAAAAAATGAAAATAAAAATTTAGAAATTAATATTAAAACACACTAAAAATATAAGGACAAACATTTATATTTTTTTATTCAACAACTTAGTGCCTGTTTGGATAAGGTTGGAAATCGATTTTTTTTGCTGATAATTGATTTTGAAAAAAAAATTAGCCAAACACCAAATTTGTGATTAATCGATTAAAAAGCTGATAATCATGTTTTGGCATAATCTAAAAATTTCAGCTTCTTCGAATGATTTTTACCGTTATGAATTAATTATTTCTAACCCACTTTCTCACCTACTCATATCAGCCTCATGAATGTGTCACTAAAAACACATTATATAATTTAAATAATATATTTAATTTCTTAAATAAAATTTAACAACTTTAATAATATTAAATATAAATTTATTAATAATTTAATTTTAAAAAGTAATATTTTTATGACAATTTATTTCATTAAAATTAATTCTGAATAAATTATTTAAATATTTTTAATTCTATTAAAATTAATTTAAAAAATAATATTCAAATAGATTGTATAGTAACATAATTAATTATAATTAAAATTTATCATATAATTAATTATTGTTATATTTAATTGAAATTCATACAGACACTTTGAAAGTTTTTTAAAAAATAAATATATGCTTATCTCGATCGATATATAAATAAAGTATAGGGGTAACCTCTATGATAATTGAAGTTTGGATTTGACCTGAGTTGATAGGCAAATTAAAGGAGAAAAAATTTGCACAAATTCAGATTTGACATTTGAGTTGAAAAGTGAGACTCTTGCTCTTCATCGGCACATGCACAACGGCGAAACTGACTCTCCCTCCACTCTAGAAAGGTTATAATATAATATCACTTTTTTTTTGGTCGAAAATGTCATCACTGCATTTGCAAGGAATACATTTGTATTATTCTTGCAATTTTATGCGTTTTCAAATGTGAATGAATCCGACAATTATTTTGACGTGGAAGGAGGCTGTGGATCAAGATCGTCTAAAGCTTGACATGTCATTAAGATCAAAATTATTCATACACATTTGGGTTTAAATCCTTAAGTTATCTCTATTATTTTAATATATTGCTATTACGTGTTTTGTACTAATTGTCTAATTGGAGGATTATTTGGTTGTAAATCAAAATTAAATATAGATATAATCGAATGCTGTCCAACTTAATTAAAATGCTATCATAATATAATTTTTCTTCATAAGGCTTGAACCATTGATTTTATTTAAATAGAATTGTTGGTAGATTATTGTAGCTTTTATTATTATTAATTAATTATTGTAGATTATTGCAATGTTGAATAAATAGTTTTGCTAATTAAGGAGAAAGAAAAAAAGCACCTTTATTAATTACTCATATCATCAAAGTAATCTTAAGTACATTGGCCAAAACCAAAAAAAAAACAAAGAAAGAAAGAAAGAAAGAAAGAAATCTTAATTGCTCATGCGGATCATCGAAGTACATAACTAGTGGATACCATCAAAGTTCCTTGCATTAAAGTTGGGATGTGCAAGTCCTTTACTTTTGGGGAGGGCCTGAAGCACCCGGCTCGGCATGTCCCACACCTCGTGGGCTTGGGCCGGACCTCTTGATACCACTCTGATCCAACCTCTTCAAGAAATTACCCTCAGAACTATGTTGCAGTGTTGACGACCTTGTGAAGGCCAGTGTGGCTTCTAAATATGATGATGATATGGAGCATGAAATCAAGAGAAGAATCACCAGCAAGCAATTGAGCAGCTCATTTTTTGCCATATTAATTTTTTGGTCTCTAGCTATGTGGCTGAAATTAATGGCAGATCAGTGAATATTTGGTGCTGCCAAGCTGTTTGAGGATGCCTTATTTATATATGTAGGTCTCTTGAGGATCCAACAGAAAATCCTATTTCATAAAGCATTATGTCAAATCCCTTCTTAACATAATTAACACATATATGGACATTATTTATCAAATCTGATTCTTGGTCTTTAGATTTTGTTTTTGATTGATGCTCTCGGAACAATAACACATAGTCAATTTGATTTTTCAACTGCAGCTGATAAATATTGATGATAATTGATGAAACCCTTAGTTGCCTTGGGTTATTAAATTTTACTAGAATGTAGAAGTGAGTATTCTAGGTTATTTCCTAGAGAGCAAAGCAT